CGCTTCTTCAACTCGGTCAGGATGACTTTGTTGGCCGACTCAGCTTGACCGTTAGTCTGTGGGTGTTCGACCGAGGTGACCTTGTGTCGTATTCCTAGGCTAGCTAAGAACTCGTTCAACTTTCGATCAGTGAATTGGAAGCCATTGTCAGTCACCAAGGTTGATGGTATGCCGAATCGGGTGATGATATTCTTCCATAGAAACTTTTGAACTTGATGAGCTGAAATGCTCGCTAGGGGCTCGGCTTCAATCCATTTGGTGAACAAGTCCACGGCGACGATGAGGAATTTACACTGGCCTTTGGCAACTGGGAAAGGCCTGAGTATGTCGGCTCCCCATGTGGCGAACGGCCACGCTGGAGGAATGTAATGCAGCTGCTCGGCTAGTTGGTGGATCAAGTTGTCGTATTTCTGACACGATTGGCACTTCTTCACAAAAGTTGAGCAATCGGTATTCATGGTCAGCCAGTAGTACCCAGCACGCAAGAGTTTGGAGACGGTCGTTCTTGCTCCGGAATGCATTCCACAAATGCCTTCGTGAACTTCCTGCATTACGTAATCGGCTTCTATGGGTCTAAACACTTGAGTAGTGGAGTGGAGAAGCCACGTCTATATAATTAACCGGCAATGACGACATATCTACTAGCTTGTGTTCGCAGTCGCTTTGCGTCTGTCGGGTCGTCCGGCGTGACCCCATTGGTGATGAATTCTTTGATTTTACCTCGCCAATCTTGGGAGTCGGCGGGTCGGTGCGATCGGTGACGACGCTTCCTACTATCTCTGCTTCAACACTGGGGTGGTCGATTTCTTGCTGAATGATAGTTCTCAATTGGCCCGATTTATTGGTCGTGGCCAACCTGACCAACTGATCGGCTCGGATGTTATCCTCGCGTGGGATGTGCTTGACCAACGCCTCCTGGAAATTAACCTTCATCTCCTGCCCGAAGGTGTCTCTTCCGTGCCGAGAAGGTGGAACCTCCCCCCGCGAAGCCTCTAGCTATGGTGTTTATCACCTTCCTTGGTCGGTCGTTTTCTTCCTGGGAGTGTCGTGAACGATCCCTCTTCTCAGCTGAATGGGATCGGTGGTGTCGGTCTCTTGGCTGTGGGACTTCGCGAGGGTGATGGTCTCTCCCCCTTGCCTGGTGGTCCTGGAGGGTGACGAAGCTCCTGAGGTGACCCTACTTGATAAGGTCCTCGAGCCTGTCTTTCAGTGTTGAGCATTCTTCAGTCGAGTGCCCCCTGTTTCGGTGGAATCGGCACGTCTTGGCCTTGTCTGCTCTAGGGGGAGTGTTCGCCCTTTTCGGCATCACGAGGATCTCCGAAGTAAGGGCCTGCTCCATTACCTTGGCCCTACTCGCATTGAGGGGGGTATACGCTGTGTAGCGTGGTCCTCTCGGGGGACGAGCATTTGAGGGCTCGACATTCGCCTTTCTCATTGGCTCTCGACCAGATTCTTTTCGGTTGTACCCCTTCTCGACCCTAACTTGATTTCTGGTCTCCGCCCTCCATTTGCATGTACTTCTCAGCTCGGCGTCGGAGATCATTCATATCACCAGGCGGTTTCTTACACAAGCTATTCACAAATGGCCCCGCCCTCAGGGCGGTGCTTAGTCGATCCATCGCCACGGATGGGTTGAGATCGCCGATTTCCATGGCGATCTTGTTGAATCGGTCCATGAAGCTTCTCAAACTTTCCTTCTTCTCTTGACGAACCCCCGCCAATGCTAGCGAGGTCGTCTTGTATGGTTTGCTCGTCGCGAACTATAGAGCGAATTGGGACGACAACTCATTAAATGAGTCGATGGAAGAGCTCGGCAATCGCGTGAACCAGCTCAAAGCCCTTCCTTTCAACGATGTGGGGAATATCCGGCACAAGGCGGAGTCATCTTGAGTGGAGAGGGTTACTTGTGTCAGGAAAACGTTCAAGTATTCCTCGGGGTCGGTAGACCCATCATACTTCTCGATTGTCATGCTCTTTTAGTGGTCCAACATGGTTGCCTCCATTATCCTTCAGGAGAAAGGGTGTCTTAATGAGTGAGTGGCGGTGTCGGCCTTGCTGCCAATCAAAGAGGTAACTGGTGTTCGGGTAACCTGGTCCGTTGGGGCGTGATAGGCTGACTCTTCTAAGAGCGTGGGAGTGGACGGCACGTAGGTTTGGGTCAAACTTCAGAGTTCGGCGTTTTGCCGACGCAGTTTGACCAACTCCCTGGCATCGACTTCTCTCTGTCTATGTATGGCTGCCATTTCCTCGAGCAATGCACACAAGTCATCGTGGAGGTCGGGTTGGGCTCCGTCGGCGTTTGGTTGGACCTATTGTATTACAGGCTCTGGTTATGTTTGAGACATTCCGTACGGGTATTGTTCTTGGTCGGTCATGCCAGGGTTGTTCTCAGGGTTAGGGATCGGTTGAGTCGATGTTGATGGTCCTTTGCGTGTAACTACCATGTCTCGGTCTCAGTCAGATAGAGTTCAAAGGGGCTGAAAACGTCTCTTCGACCCCACGGTGGGCGCCAAATGTTCATGTATTAGGGTACACACTTTACTTGTCCTTGCTGTTGCGGGTTTGGTCTTGGGTCTGGGTCTTCTCGTTCCTTTCCGATCAGTCCGAAGTGAGGGGGGTGCCTACAAAGACACTCCAACGCTCAAGTAAGTGTTCGGCATATTAAATACGGTAGTTGAAAGTTAGTTACATACCTCTTGGAAGTCTATTTATAGTGGTTGTTATTGGGCCGCGATTAAGGAATGGGCCCCGAAAAATTAGGGGTTAAACTAGTGTATTAGGTAAATTAACCTCTTCTTAACCGTCCTGGCATAACTTCGTAACTTGGCCGAGCACACCGACCTGTTCAGCTTGGATAAGTGGTGGTTGGTATTCTCGGCTAAGTTGATTAATTCGGTCAGATCAGGTATTCGACCTAGTCAGGTACCATCCGGTATATCCATACTACTAGAATTGAATGAATTGAATCATATCTCTTCCTTCCACTTGTATATTATTTGAGTCCCTCTTTTTCTCCCTCCAATAAAGAAGAAGAATATACATTTATCATACACACAAACAATGCTACCATTTTTCTATAAACCCTTTAATCCCACAAAGGCATCTCCTGAAAAGATGCTGTACTTGGTATTGTCGAGATTTACAACTCAAAAGTTTATAAAACGGTTCCTCTCTACAATGAATGTATGAATATGACCATAAATTAATGTGAGGCTTATTCATCAAGCTGACCACATCAAACGAAATGAAGGTAGATGTTTGTCTTAAGAGCGTTCATTACCGAAAGCTACTCTCATAACATTTCTACGCACGAAAACTCGTTTTTCAAAATGTGTGCAGGTTTCGATTTGAAATCTCCATCCTCACATATTTGCAGTTTTCATCTGCATTAATGGGACAGGTTTCTAAATATAATTTGCTTTATATTAAATATATAATCATTTTTATAAAATCAAAATGATTTTAAAGTCAAGAACTACAAATGTTTAATCAAATATATGTACACTTAAGTCGATTAATTTTTATTTTTTTTTGGTGTAACAAGGGCTTAAAAGCCCAAAAGGAAAACAAAATTTACCTCCATAAATCAACTACGGGGAAAAAGTCATAAACAATAAAATTCTCCTAAGTTGAATACATGAGATATGGAATTATAATATTTTTTTCATCTCCATATTTTTTAAATAATTTTATTCTTAAATTTTTAAATAATAAAAAATAGTATTAAAAATTAACTATCATTATCAAACTCAACACTTGAATTCAAAATTATAATGATTAAAAATTAACCACAACATTAATTATTTCAATAAATATTAATAATTTTTCAATAATTTTATTAAATGAAATGTAAAAGTATGGAGTGTCTTGACCCTACTAATTACATACAAACAAACGAGTTATATTTTTTTTAGTAACTTTTTAATTTTTATAAGACCATTTTACTCCTTATTTATTTTCTTTTTTACTACACATTTATTTTTTTTCTTCGTTATTTAACCTTGAACTACTTGTAAATTATTCTTTCTTTTCAATATTTATTGTTTATTTTTTTAATTACCCACTATATTTATTATTTTTTTAAATAGGCCTCGACTTGCCTCTTTTCCCTAGTATAAAAATTTAAATAAAAAAAAAACATATTAAAAATTATTTATTATTTCTGAATTTTGTATCTTCGTATTCCTGTTCTAAAAAAAATATAATTAAAAATTACAAAAAACAAAACCATATATTTAGCTATTTTATTTTTACTAGGAAGATATATTCCTACAAATTTTATTTGTCTCTCTTCAGTTTTATAGAAGGTGCAACGGCATTCAAATTAAAACTTCTAAAAGGGTATGCTTATTTTTATTCTTTTAGATTGTTAGTATCGAAGAATTACATTAGACTTTGAATAATTAGAACCGAGACATGTAGATTTATTTATGGGGATAAAAGCTTTTCTAACTTCTATTTACTTGAAGTTAAAAACGTGAATGTTTTAATTTGATATGGAAGAATAAATTTAAAAAGTATTGGAATGAAAGTGAGATATGAGAGAAGCCCCATCTCATGATAACAGCGTATTCTTCAAATTAACTTGGTGATGTTCGTGAACTACAACCAAGTCAAATCAACATCATTGCTCTTAGCTTAGCCATATATAATCAGCACACTGATTACCTGAGTGTTTGTGATATCTGCTCTCTTCAGTCTCTAGCAAAAAGTTAGAATTATAGATAATACTATAATGTGACAGGATGAAAAGGAAAGGAAAAAAAAAAAAAGTTTACTTGTACGTAATTCATGTAAAACAAAGTATTGATGAGGTGGGAAATTATGGTCACAGGAATATCGTCACGTATCTCTAAACTTGTTTGGGACAAATGGGTTTGGGTTGGGGCCACACGCATGCATCTATCTTCTTGTTGAAAGATGAGCTCCATCATAGACTATATTTGGACCACCAAACCATCACTTGTCACAACACACCCCATGAAAGAGTGAAAGACATAGTTAACCATTTTCGATATAAGTTCGAAATGTTTTTTACTTTATTTTTTCTAGAGAAATTTTTTTTTCTCTAAACTTATCCAAATAGATTCTCATTATATAACCATATAATTAATGCTATAAAGTGATTCAAGACCATTCTATATATATATTTCCTGCAGAATAACCAGCTTCAGAGCAAGACACAACATCGCCAACATTCACCGTGGCCATGGATTCAGATTCCCATGTAAGTTTTTAGTCACAGGTTGACCCATATTTGTTTAGTAGTCGCCTTTAAATTAAAGAAGCACGAATTAATCTTGTATGTTTCAACGTATTTTTGTACTTCATTTCATTAGTTGATGATACAAGTCATGATTCATGAATCTATATGTATGTTTGGTTGCAATTAAATTTGAACAGGCTTTGTCAGAGTCTTGGACAATAGGGGAGAGGGTGTGTGCGGCGTTGATGCCATTCATAGCGGTGGTTGAGGTTCTGATGTTGGCTGTGACAGGATGCTTCAGCATTATTCAGAACCATAAACGTGCCTACACTGCTAAGGATTTTGCAAGCCTCGCTCATCAAACCAGATGTAATTCCTCAAATTTTTATTTCGTGATATTAAAGAGAAGCACTGACCCCACTGGCCACTAGTGTATTATAATGATTCTCTTCCATGTGGGAAGCACTTTCCATATTATGAGCTGTTATGGTCATAGTAACATTCTTGCCAGCTTTGATGGGTCCAAACTCCAGAGATCTATAAAATTTTTCTAACAGCTCTCCATAACGCAACTCTATTGTAATGCTCTGAATTATATACATTGAATTATGTTTTGCCTTTCTCCCTCAAATATTTTTTATCTCCTTAAATTACCTCTAGATGGGTAAATTTGTCATTTCAAGTGGATTTTTCATTTCTAAAGTTTCTATCACCATTCACGCCTAATTTTGCTATGTTTATCATGATACACTATTTCAAAGTATACAATTAGTGATTATCTGAAGGGGGTGCTGTGCAGGTACTATATACTAAGTATATTATTATGTCTTGACTTAAAGCCTTTATTTTTGAATGAACTATTTTGAAGAATTAAATTTGTATAATATTATGATGTCTTGACTTAAAACCTGTATTTTTGAAAGGATAGAAAGTGGAAAGTAAGTTCTGCATTTCCATATGCAATTGTGATTTGCTAGTTAGAACTTTGAACAATGAGTTCCAATAGTTGTTTTTTCTGCTGTTAATAATGCAGTCACAGTTAATGAAGTGGAAGCATTGCATGTGCTGTTTAAAAGGTTAAGTAGCACCCTAATTGATGATGGCTTGATTCACAAGGTAACTTGATCTGTCAAGTGGTTTGGCATACATGGTTTCTATGATTCTCTGCAAGCTTTAACTGCTTTACCTTTGCTTTATTGCCGAGAAAATGTTAAATAGTCTAGGACTACCACATGTTTATGATCCTAACTAATCACTATATAAAATGCATTCAAGTTTTTCAAATAATTTAACACATTAGTATGTTCAAGGCATTGTGGGTTAATCATGTGAGAAACCCTGCTTGGAAGACCTAACCAAATGGAGGATAACTCAATAATAGAGGTAGATCAAGAAGGATTATTAAGTTAAGCCATTAAAAAGGAACTAAATAAATTTGGTTGTGGACAGAACAGTATGGTGTCATTCAACTCATATACAGCACCTCATGAGAAAAATATTTGGTGGTTGTTGTAACTCCTCCCCTCCCTCCCCAAATGGGAGCCAAAAATAATCTTTTCTTTTTGTACCAAATCAATTGGAGGAGGATATGGCATAAATTATGGTGTAGCAAACATTTATATTGAGGGTTTCATTTTAGTCAGTGACTCGGTATCATGAATATGATAGTAGTACGTTTTTTATTTTGATTTTTTCTATTGTAGGAGGAGCTTCAATTGGCACTGTTTCAAACCCCAAATGGAAAAAATCTTTTCCTGGATCGAGTAAGCAATTCCTATATTTCCAAGCCATTGCATTTTTCTTCATGATGGGTACCACATTGGAAATCAGATTAAGTTTGTAGGCAGATTATAACTGACTTGCATTATAGTAAAACTGATTGCATGAAAATAAAAAACTTAAATGGGTGTAGCAAATTAGCTGTTTAAATTATTTGAAATGATTAATCCACAAAGCCTTGAACATACTAATGTGTTAAACTATTATGTTTCTTCTTCAGGTTTTCGATGTTTTCGACCGAAAAAGAAATGGTGTAATCGAGTTTGACGAATTTGTCCTTGCACTCAGTGTTTTCCATCCATGTGCCCCAATAGATGAAAAAATTGATTGTATGTTCAAATTGAAGACAACTTCTTGGCTTCATACAATGACACTCAATTTTTCTTCACGTCTAATCTCTGTCCTTCAATGATATCTTGTAGTTGCATTTAAGCTCTATGACCTGAGGCAAACTGGGTTTATCGAGCCAGAGGAAGTAAGTGAACAAATTCATTTAAGCCTCATCTGTCATCAAAATAGGTACTACAACGTTATTGTTTGTTGATATGGTTTCCTTGATTTTAGGTCAAGCAAATGGTTGTAGCCATTTTGATGGAATATGACATGAATCTCCCTGAGGATCTTCTTGAAGCTATTGTTGACAAGGTTATTTTTTAGTCAAACATAAATCTTTAGTTTCAATGGGGGCATATTAACCAAGTAATCATACTCATACAACAATTCATACAACATCATATTTTTTGGTGCATCACTCCATCATTAATGATGTAATAAATGGTGCGATGGAGAGTGATAGACACAAGGAAATGATGTTAAAATTTTTGTATGCATTGTCGTATAAATATCATTTCCCTATTAATTATTGGACCTTCACATCTTCATCTTATCTGCAGACAATTGTTGATGTGGATAAGGACAATGATGGTAAAATCAGTAAAGAAGATTGGAAAGCTTTTGTGAGTCGAAATCCATCCCTCTTGATAAACATGACACTTCCTTATTTGAAGTATGGATTATAGAACTTCCCTTGTGTGTGACCCTTTTTTTTGGTGGTCATTCTTTCCTTTTTCTATGATATCCCTTTGAAACTACAACTAACTGTTCCACTATGTCATTTTCCAGGGATATCACCAGTATGTTTCCGAGTTTTATTTTCAAAACAGAGGCAGAACCTTGAGATCAAAAATTGTTGTTATTTTGGCATGAAGAAGATACTTTCTGTTTGAGGTGAATAATTGTGATACCTTGTTGCTAAACATAAGTGCTTGATGAACAAAGGAGCAAGGTATTTTTATGGGAAATGAGATCAAAGTTAGTTAGGAAAAAAATCCATCAATGGATTGGAGGTAGTTATTTATTAGGAATATATATGATAGATAATAACTGATTCTGTATTAGTAAATATGTATTAGAAAGCAGTATTAGAAACTGCATGATCACAAGTATGTATATAAAATAACAGATTGTGTTAGCAAATCTGTATTAGAAAGCAGTTTTGTATTAGAAAATAACTGCTAGTAGTTTATATTAAAAGTATATACCTGACAGTAGGTTGTGTTATTGGAAAAGTGTGTGTAATTATTTATAATTTGTGAACAGATAATATTTTCTATAGAAGACTTGTATTATATGTGATTTCACTGCGCAATATTATATATTAGTTTATTTGGTGTTATACTATTTTGGTCCGACCTACCAAATCTAAAGAAAGGAAAAGTGTTTCAGATCAGCAAGGAGAATTCTACATGGCAAGAGTGTCCAATCGTGTGGATACATTGGAGCAAAATGTATAGAAATATTATTTATCATGTGATCTCTCTTGAGAATTTCTTCATTGTCCTCATCGGTCTTTATAGGACTACAAACTACGTAATTTACTCTCGTAATGATATTTTTAGTGACCTTTGTACATGTCTCAATCACCTTTATAATATAGATCTCAACTTTTAAATTTAGGAACTTATATGCTATGACATTTTATTGTGTGCCTTGTTCTAACCCTCATTTTTTTTCTTCTAAATCCAAGTTCAATCATCTTTTTCCATAACATGATAGTCTGACTCGTAAGTTTTATAACTTAATAAGTTTACACAATTATGAATATCTTTCTTGTCCTAAAATATAGGAATCAAAGTGTGCTTCTCCTCCATTATTTGACATTTTCTCAAATATCAAACTCTCATTAAGTAACTTAATGAGTCAAATGATATTTTATTGTCTTGCATACTTCTAAAGGTTAACAAGAATGTTATTTGAATAACATTTTTAGCATTGTACATTCTCTTAAAGGTTCCTTTTGTATTATCACATGTTTTCTCGCCTCTCTTTGAAATCTTGATTTGTGACCAAAATTTTTTTTTCACTATCCTTTTTACATCTTATTTAAATATTGATTTTCTTTCTATATTTTTGGTAAATTTATATCTTTGTTCCAAAAAATTATATAATTGTTAAAAAATTTTAGATCATGTCAAAGCTTTTCTTGTCTCATTTTAAACATTATAATATTTTGTTCGATTTTAACATTATTGTATTTGTATAAAACTTTAAAACACTATCTTTTTTTTTTACCTTGTTTAGAACACCGTCATTGTACCACCATCTTATCTCTTTGTAACGTAGTGAGGAGATTTTTGAATTTAGTTGACTCTAAAGAGAGAAGAATATATAAGGGTTTCTTTGAGAAGAGAACTTCATAAGTTCATTCTCAAATAAACTAGAAAGAAGTTTTAGAGAGAAGATCTCTGGGTCCGTGAGCTCCTTTCTCTCTCAACTTTTTCTGGTTGATTCTTCTTCTTCTCTAGATCACTAACTTCTTCTATCTTCTCTTGGAATTCAGGCTAGGAGGCTTGATTTTGAAGGATTGAAGTTCGGGAGTCGAGCTCGGAGGAAAGTTTTCTTCTTCCCAAATTCTTGGTTGTTCGGAGCCAATCTTCAGGTGAGGGAAGCTAGAAAGTAGATTGTTTGATTTCATGGGAGTTTAGGAACTCCATTGATGCATGAATTTCGAGAAGAAGTGGTTGAAATGGGTGATTGCTCATTTTCAAGATTTTGAAAAAAATGGGGTTTTTGATGATTTTCATGCGTTGATTTGTTGCATGTTGAATCTGAGGTTGTTTTTGAGTTGTATGGAGTCTATGCATTGTGTTTCTTGGTTTGCATGTGGTTGGATTTGCTATTTTCAGGTTTTGGGCGAAATATTCGAAGTTTTGGGGCTGCTGTATGAATTTGCGTCGGGTGCATATTATTGGCACCGAGCTTGTATTCATCAGAAGAAGTTTCCGGATGAATTCACGCCGGGCTCGAGCTGTCTGCGCCGGGCGTGAAGTAACCAACTATGACAAGTTGCTAATCAAATAATCAACTATGACAACAAAATATGCTACTATAAAGTAGCCTACAAAAAAAATCCAACTCTAGGCACCTCTTGTAGCCTCTAACAGCTATCTTCTAGCCTATCCTTGCCTTGCTCCCATACATCGTATGATCATCGCAGTCCAAACCACATGGAAACATGCAAGATAAGTGATAGTCATATTTTAGTATATCTTTCTTTATGTGTTTTTACCTTATTTGATTCTTTTTAGTATCCTATATTCATGTTTTAGTTTAGATTTGCATTAGTGAATCATTTAGGAATTAGTTATAAATTTTACTAATTTTTCGTAAGAATTTCCTGTTTTGACACAGTTTCTTGTGCAAGCCATATCTGGAGCTATTCAACTCGGAATTTGGCAAACTTGGTGTCCCTGTAAAGATAAGACAGAGATCTACAATTCTCATGTTGGACGAAAAACCCAGTTTGGACATTTTCAGACCCAAAATCGTGCTTTAAAGTCGCGGCTCTGCACTTAATTGTTCAGCTTGTCATGAAACTGTTTAGGCTAGAAGATACGATGTATGGGAGCAAGGCAGAGATAGGCTAGAAGATAGCTGTTAAAGGCTACAAGAGGTGCCTAGAGTTGGATTTTTTTTTGTAGGCTACTTTATAGTAGCATATTTTGTTATCATAGTTTGTTACTTGATTAGCAACTTGTGTTGTAAATATTTTAGTATATATATTTCAATAGTGTGTAGTATTGTTACGTAGTGTAACGACCATGACGGGTCGTTACACTCTTAGTCCAAAATCATTTCATTCATCCAAGATAATTATAGCAAAATTCCTAATCTTTTTAGATATCTCATCTCAAATGAGATTAACATTATCTTATAAAATTGAATTATCTTCGTCCAATAGTTTCTTCTTATGCAATGTATGTTTATACACTAATATTTAAATTTGTACATTATATATGATAAATATTTAGTTTTATATAATTAAAATTTTAAATATATAAACATTTTAAATATATAAATTATATTATAATTAAAATTTATAATAAAAATATTTTTCAATATATAAATCTACTCTTATATTATAAAATAAAATCTCAACTTCAAAAGATTGAATTTTTTAACTAGTTTCAAAACAATGTGAAAAATACATATTTAAATGAGAGAAGAAATAATAATAACAATGCTTAATTAAAAAGAATGAGAATAGGTTGTGTTTTATTATTTATAAAAGTTTTAAATTTATAGATAAAGAGTACCATATTCTTTAATACATTTTTTATTATTAATTAAAATTTTAAATGCTATAAAATCAGAAATAACATTCATTAAACAAAGATAAGAAATTTACAAAAAAAGTTTATTATAATAAAATTAAGTTTAACAATAAAGAATCTTTTGTGATAGTCATATTTTAGTATATCTTTCTTTATGTGTTTTTACCTTATTTGATTCTTTTTAGTATCCTATATTCATGTTTTAGTTTAGATTTGCATTAGTGAATCATTTAGGAATTAGTTATAAATTTTACTAATTTTTCGTAAGAATTTCCTGTTTTGACACAGTTTCTTGTGCAAGCCATATCTGGAGCTATTCAACTCGGAATTTGGCAAACTTGGTGTCCCTGTAAAGATAAGACAGAGATCTACAATTCTCATGTTGGACGAAAAACCCAGTTTGGACATTTTCAGACCCAAAATCGTGCTTTAAAGTCGCGGCTCTGCACTTAATTGTTCAGCTTGTCATGAAACTGTTTAGGCTAGAAGATACGATGTATGGGAGCAAGGCAGAGATAGGCTAGAAGATAGCTGTTAAAGGCTACAAGAGGTGCCTAGAGTTGGATTTTTTTTTGTAGGCTACTTTATAGTAGCATATTTTGTTATCATAGTTTGTTACTTGATTAGCAACTTGTGTTGTAAATATTTTAGTATATATATTTCAATAGTGTGTAGTATTGTTACGTAGTGTAACGACCATGACGGGTCGTTACACTCTTAGTCCAAAATCATTTCATTCATCCAAGATAATTATAGCAAAATTCCTAATCTTTTTAGATATCTCATCTCAAATGAGATTAACATTATCTTATAAAATTGAATTATCTTCGTCCAATAGTTTCTTCTTATGCAATGTATGTTTATACACTAATATTTAAATTTGTACATTATATATGATAAATATTTAGTTTTATATAATTAAAATTTTAAATATATAAACATTTTAAATATATAAATTATATTATAATTAAAATTTATAATAAAAATATTTTTCAATATATAAATCTACTCTTATATTATAAAATAAAATCTCAACTTCAAAAGATTGAATTTTTTAACTAGTTTCAAAACAATGTGAAAAATACATATTTAAATGAGAGAAGAAATAATAATAACAATGCTTAATTAAAAAGAATGAGAATAGGTTGTGTTTTATTATTTATAAAAGTTTTAAATTTATAGATAAAGAGTACCATATTCTTTAATACATTTTTTATTATTAATTAAAATTTTAAATGCTATAAAATCAGAAATAACATTCATTAAACAAAGATAAGAAATTTACAAAAAAAGTTTATTATAATAAAATTAAGTTTAACAATAAAGAATCTTTTTATAAAAAAAAAAAAAAAAAAAGTTGTGCTAAAACTTAAAAGCATGTTTTTTTCTTTATAAACAAAATGTCTTGGTTGCAACAACGTAGCACAATATTCGCCATATCAATCTCTGCTCTCTCTTTCTCTCTGCATCTGATTCCAAAACTGTGTAAACCCAGAAGCAGAAAAAACAATGGCAGATAAGCCAAGTCGATCCCTGGTCTTATTTGGTGATGGGTTAGCTCGTTTCATGGATTCATCGCACTCCCACTTTCACTCTCTCGCTTCTCTCTCTTCATGCGGGTTCTTGAGTCTCCCCAATTCTCCGCCCTCAGGTTCCCTTTTTCTCAATCAACACCCTCTTTGTGTTTGTAATAATGTCTAACACACTACTTAATTATTTTTTCCCACATGTGCCCCTGCCACATTCAAATTCACTTGAATATGTAGTTTTCAGAAAGCGAGGATGAGAGGACAGTTAGAGAATTTGCTGTGCTGCTGGATGCATGCCACACTTATTCAAATATGGTGAGACCCATCTACTCAAGTTTTTATTTTTACATTTACTCAAGTTTTTATTTTTACGTGTTATTATCTTATCGTCATTGTTGATTTTTTTTATTTGTTATGATTCCTGGTTAGAAGGGGCAAATCGGTGATGGTGATAGCCAAGAGGATCGACCAAAAGAAACCTTGTCTGATAGGTTTGCTCTTTTATTTGTTTGCTTTTCATTTTCGATTTTGTTGTTCTATAAAGGCTAAATTAGTCATTTGATATCTATAGGCGAACTCGTTTAGGAATCAGTCTCGTAAAAAAAACAAAAAAAAAAAAAAAGGTTTTAGTGCACACAAGTATATCAACTAAAAGTTAAGCTTTTGAAGGACTAGAACTGAAGGTTAAAATACCATATTGACTAGTAATATAAAGTTCAAATAGTGTATGGGAGACCAACTAGATGTGACGTGGTTGTAAATAACCTTGTTCTTTAAGTATGTGGTCCGGAGATCAATCTCTAGTCTATGTATATAGAAAAACATTTGTTGGGAAGGGTTTTCCCCTTAAATGGATCTTAGTACTTCAAGGGATTAGTCCTTAGTTTTCGGTTAGGGAATTCCTTGGCTTATAAAAAAAAAGTGTATCAAAGGTTATTTTAGTAGTTGTTGTTGGACTATTGGTTATCCGTTATGAGGTTGTTATCAGACAACTCACATATGTACAGTTCTATACATCTCACGTCTCAAATATTCGATCTTTAATGTGAGAGGTGTTGAGTTAGACTTCAAATCCAAATTCTGATGTGATATTGAAGTCTGTCCTAGTGGTTGTTGGATCTATTGGATCATTCGTTATTAGATCACCCATAAATGTACAATTTTGCAAAATTCATACTTGAGATGTTCAATTCACTATATGAGGGGTATTTGTTAGAGACTATAAATTGACTAGGCCTAAACTCAAATTCTAAAATTTAAGAATCATAGGAACACCAACGACCAATGTGTACTAAATAAGAACATATATAGGAGTTGATACATAAATGAGTGTCACATGTCAAGAGCAAATGATTAATCAAACCTTTGGTAAACGAATTAATGATCAAATAAAGCATAACCTTTTATAAAAGTACAATAGATCAAGTGAAGCAGTTCATTTTTCTGAATACAGGTTTATGGGAATGAAGGCTGCTATTTTGACCAACAATTCAAGCTTGAAGTCTTTTAGTGCCAAACTGGGATTCAGTGTTCTTCAATTTGATGAGTTAGTGGAAGGTCATTCTACTGAGTTGCAACATAATGTTGTAGCCCTTGAGCTCCTCAAGTTGCTTGGCTTTCAAGAAGGGAAGGTGCTGGACAGTAACCACTTTGATCTTGTTTTCTTTCACATTGGAGCTGGTGAACAAAAAGTGGTTGCTGCTGATGTGGAGTATATGGATGCCTTGGTTGGAGGGATAATGAGTCAAGCACAACTGGGTTCTGACATCAGTTCACGTCTGCACTTGTCTGTTGTCATGAGCTATGGCAATGTCTTGGATGGTGATGATTCTAAGTTTTCAGTGTTAAAGAGGGTAGATGAAAAAAAGACCCATCTTTCACTGCTCTATCCTCTACAAAGTTATGCTATGAAGGGAGGAATTCCTCGAAAGGATGTAAGGTAATTAAATAGAAAATTCATTTCTGTTCTATTTTCGTTGGTTCTACCTTTTAAGTGGGACCTAAATGGACAATTTTTTTACCTCTTCTCTTTGGATTGTCTTGAATATTTATATACCATTTCAAATGATATAGGCATTATTCTCCCATGTTAATTGCTCAATGGCAATATGCTGTGACACGCAAGGATAATGCTGAGAGATTTTCTTTTGAAGATTTTATGGAGGTTTGTTTCAAGATTTGATTTTAGTTTTATTCACAAGTTATTCATGATTTATTCCAGTTATTGTTTCTATTTTTGTTTTAGTTCATGACTTGTTAGTAAGTTGAACTCTATTTCTTGTTCATAATGATGTTCTAAGTGCACAACTCCACCTACTTTCATGTTATTGATCAGCATGTGTACTTTAGTTATTTTCTTGTATACCATCAACCTATTTGATTCTGCAAGTATTTGCAGTTTTTGTGAAGTATCATGGTTTGAGTGCTAGCATTTATGGAATTTTCCTAGACTTGTTATTTGTTTAAGCTATTATGTAATTCTGCGATAGAGTATAATTTATTTTTGTTTTCTTGTCGCGCAGCATGGTGGAAACCTTACAATACCGGCAGATAGGTTCTTGCATGAGATTGCCTTTAAGCTTTGGAAAGCTCCCAAGTATGGAGCCTAATTTACTTTTTTTTTCAATCTTTTTCTGTCTCTTGCGCTAGCAGCAGAACAATATAAAAAATGCTGATTAACATGTTTATGTCGTACTTTAAACTCTGTTCCGACATCTAATAAGTAATGTTTCTTATAAACAAATATCAGAAATTTGTATTTGGTATTTTGTTCATTTTATAGAATCTCTCTTTAAATGCTTTACTATATGATTTCGAGTTTTAAGAACATTTCAACATCAGGACATGCCACTTGTACTAGATAGTTCTTCTGTAGCAGTTTTTCTATGTACGTTATCTCCCACACAGGCCCAATTTCTTTGAGTTCAATAAGTTAGAGTGTACATATTAAAAAAGAAAGTGTGATCAAGAGAAACTAATATTATACAATTGTAATGGATGGTTGAAAAACTAAAGTAAAATTATTGAACATCTGTTTACATTAATAATATTAATAATAATTATAAAAATCATATTAATCTTTGTATCATTAATAATTTTATATGAAATATTTTTTATTAATTTAATAATTGGATTATAATTATAGTATCTTTATTGTTTGTGTAAACAATAATTATAAATCATATTAATGAAATATTAAATCACTTAAAATGAATTAAAAATTTTGTACATATATCAATGTTTTAAAAATTAGACTAATCATTGAATTGGTGATAACATTGGTTCAAGAGTTGAAGGATTAATAGATGAATTAATATTAATTAAATAATTTTTAATGTTTTAATATAATATATTAAGTAATGGTAAAAATAACATAATATTCATTTCATAACATAAGTTTATATAAATTTTTAAATATTTTTTATTAAATTAAACTAATAAAAAAATTAAATATTATATTGAATCAATGAAATAAAATCTAATAGTTATCAAGACTAATTATATAATATTATAATATAGTAATATAGTATAAGAAGAGTAAAAGTTCATTGCTTTGGACAATTAACCATCTATATCCGAAATGCAATGGATGTGAGATTCAAATAAAAACAATAATTCATTTTATTATTGTATAAGAAGAGAAAAAGTTAAATGCAGTAAGCAATTAAATATGTATGTTAACAGTATTTTTTTATTTTAATTTAATTAAATGAGTAAATAACATGGTATTATTAATAGATCTGATTGGTTGCCAGTTTAAAAAATTTTTACATTGAGTGTATAGGTAATTAACTTATTAAATATTTATTTCCTTTTATAAATAAAATTTTTTTTAACCAAATCCAATAGATGTGGACTCACATAAAAAATAATTTTTTTTTATAAAAAGTATAACATGATGTGAGGTAGGCATGGCAATGGGGCGAGGCAGGTTTTACGTTCTCCGTTCCCCGCACCCGCTCTCGCAAATTTAAACTGTTCCCCGCCCCCTCCCCTATATGGTACCTATCCCTGTTCCCGGAAGGTTCAAGTTTCCTCACCCCGCCTTGCTCCTACCTTTTTTTTCTTTTTTTTTTCTTTTTTATTTCTTTTAAATAAATATGAACAAATTTAAAAAAATAAAAGAAAAGTAAAATAATAAAAAAATTTACATATAAATATTTCTAATTTTGATTTATATATATATATAAATAATTTTTTAATTATATTATTAAGCGGGG